AATAGAAGATTTCTATATTTGGCATGTAGTGTTGCCAACCTAAACGTATGAAATCAGGAAATATGAGAATAAAATTTCCAAGAAAAGTTTGTTTTTTTCAATTAAACAATACCAAAATAGAAAAAATAATATAAAATATTCGTTTCATAAGACATTTTATCGCACTCGCCATTTAGAAAACTCGCCTCCGGCTCGTTTTCTAATATAGGGCTCGTGCGATAAAATGACGTCTTATGAAACTTGTATTTTAATGTACTATTTCAACACTAGAAAAACTTTGTTGTTGTTCTACAAGTCCAAAATATACAAAAAAAAACTATATAATGCAAGGATAAAAAGGGGTTTCTAGAGGCAATCTTGGAAATCAACAATGACAACGACAATCTGACAACGTACTAATTTGCAGTATATTTTTGCTAGTTGTAGGGCATGACGTCATATTTGGCGGGTTTGCGGCATTCGAAATGCTGCTGAATTTATATTTTTAGTGTGATATTAGACTTAGTTTGTGTTCTGGAATTGACCTTTTGTTTGGACGCCATATTGCGGTGCGCGAACATGGTTGCCAAAAGTAGAAAAAAAAAATTACTAGCGTACTGTCAACATTAAAAACAAAAGTTACTGAATAAATTATATCTAAAATTAAAGTTTGCCACCTATTACGAATGTTTTTGAAAAGAAAAGCCATCAATTTTAGCTTATATTGGACAGAATAGAAATAATAAAATAACTAAGGTTCGTTTCTCGAGGTTTTATACTTTTATTAGAGAGTTATTGGACGTGCAATAAGGACAAGCAGTATTTAAATTAGCCTTATTTTGACATCTACGCATGCGCATTTGGGTCCGAAAATAAGGATTCCCAAATAAGGTTACTGCTTGTCTTTATTTGTGTATGGTTAGTGCAAGACAGTAAACTTCCCTTATTTCAAATTTCTGACATTTTGGATGACTTTGACGTTTCGTTTTTCGACAATGACGTAATTTTACTTAGAAAATTTATTTTTTACAATAGTTTTCCATTTTACTGTGGGTAACATCAAAAAATGAGTATCAGCAGAAAATCACAAACAAAAATAAACACTTTTTTCTACAAACGTCACTAAAAGAGTCATTTTTAACGGATGCTGTCTAAAATGCCATTTTATGACACTGGTGTTAAAAGTGATTATTTTTAGCACTAGTGCTAAAAGTAATCACTTTTAGTGCGTTTGTAGAAAAAATAGTGTATGATATTTGTGCTAAAAGTGATTTTATTTTGTTCAAAGGGATGGAACGCCTTTGGCGTCGTGTCCCAAACTTTCCTTTTCACAAAATAAAATGTCACTTTTAGCACTTATATCATAAATAACTATTTGAGGCTGAAATTTATAAACATAGCTATCAGCTGTCAAAATTATGAATACAAAATAAGGTAATACTCTAGCACCTACTACAGTCTTCCAATAACTGTTTTTTTCTTGGAAAAATAGTGCTGATGCACTAATAAAATAACGTAAATCCTTAATACTGCGAAGCAGTATTTAATAGTTCTAATAACTCTCTATTATCGAACACGTCACAACTTGGAAAGAAAGGGTTGTCGTACATTTAGTTCATGTGACACATTCATTTTTTTTGACAAATTAAAATAAATTACTTCTGGGTTTTTAATGTTGACAGCCCGCTAATAATTTTTTTTCTTCTTTTGGCAACTATGTTCGCGCACCGCAATATGGCGTCCAAACAAAAGGTCAATTAAAAAAATAAATAAAAAAAACACTAAAAATCCCCATTGCAGGCTGTCAAGAAAAAAGAGAGAAAATGCCTAATCGTGACTAGTTATAAAATAGCTATTTATACAATAAGTTACGAAATGAGCGTCTTTTAGGCACGCGACGTGAAAATTGTCCAACGAGGCAAAGCCGGTCTATTTTGATGCGATTTTTTTTCAAGAATCGACATCAATAATTAAAATCCTAGAAAGTTGGTGACTACAAAAAGTTTTGTTTTGAGTAACCCAAACGTTCAATTCAATAATTTAAATTTTAATATTCATAATAAATACAGAACAAAATTCAAATCTGTGTTTAGTGTGTTTTTTATTTCTGAACAAAGAATGACACTTTTAGGCACTAGTGCTTAAAAATCACTTTTACGCACTGAGTGCTTAAAAGTAACTTTCACGCACTCAGTGCTTAAAAGAATGTTTTGAAACTAAAATGACAATCAAAAAGTTGTTATTATGAAACGTCAGTAGAAAAAAAAGTTAAAATAATTAAGGGTAAGGGTTCAATGTCCATAATCCACTTTTAGTTGAATAAACCACAAAATGGAATTGCACTGCATTGCAAAATAATAATAAAACAAACAAAAAATAGAAATGTATTAGAGTGTAACACCCCATTAATAAATATTAATATTATCATAATAAATAAATATAAGTTAACATTTTATACCTAGTTAATGCTTAAGAGTCATTGAGAGAAATTCCCCTAAAATCGCAATTGAGATCCTCTCACAATGATAATCGATTTTCAGGATTCATAAATTAGATTATTTCCTATAAAGCACGATAAACGAGCACCAAAAATAAAGTTGAGCTTTTTTACTTTATAGATTCTAAAATAATTCTTCCAAAATTCAAAATCATATTCGACAATCTTTGGAAATTACTTTTAAGCATTGGATAAATTTTCAGGATTTATAGAATAGGGTCTCTTTTATGACGCAAGATAAACCGGAAGTGGATATAAAATTCAGAAATGAAAAATTTAGTGTCTAATTGGGTAACCAAAATTCAAAAAAAACAACCAATCAAAGATTGCTTTGATAACGAAAACGTACGTCGCATTATTGTTTCTTTTTTTTTTTAAATATTGAGGAAAACCACCTATTTAAAATATTATTTCTTTGAATCTTAACTTTTAAAAAAACGTTTACTTAATAAAAGTAAACATTGCAACCATGTAATGCTCTGTGGAATTGATGATAACGAGAGCGCGCTGCAACAGAATGGTACCGAAGCGAAGGGTAGGTAGAGAATACGCAACTAGACTAGAGAACAAGCTGGGCTGGTCCCTTAGACGTAGTGATGAGCAAATGCAAGACCAAGACCAAGACCGGGCTAGTCTTGGTCTTGGTCTTGGTCTTGCAGTCTGATAAGTGGTCTTGGTCTTGGTCTTGCGCTTGCAGTGTCCAGTCTTGGTCTTGGTCTTGGTCTTGGTCTTGCAGCAAGACTCTTGCAAGTCTTGCATTTATTTGGTAGATTTTTACTGGAGGCAATTTTTACAAAGAAAATTTGAAGAAAAATCGTATTTCATGCCACTTGAAGTATGCAAACGTTTAAAGAAAGGGATAATATATGCCAGTAACAAAATTTTCGTTTTCCAATATTGTGTATCTCTACCACAGCAGCAAATTTTAACAAGTACTTGAATCAGGAAATTTTTTCAAGTGAAAAATGCTCAAAAAAACATTGGAAATTAAGGGATCACTTGTTCCACTTTGTCCCTGTAATATTCAAATATCCTTATTTGTATTTACCAGTGGCGCACCCAGAGAATATTTTTGTTTGATAATTGTGTTTGTGGGAAGTCTTTATATTCTCCAAAGTTATAGGATAGGGTAGGCCCCAATATGAGTAACAATGTGATATATTCAACTAGAAGCAACTGAATCAAATACATACTAAATTTTAGTACTCTTCAGAAAAAAATGGAACAAAAACGTAAGACCGCAAGACTCTTGCATACTCGGTCTTGGTCTTGCGTAAGTCTTGCAATGCTAAGTCTTGGTCTTGCATAAGTCTTGCACTGCTCGGTCTTGGTCTTGGTCTTGGTCTTGCAGTCTAATAAGTGGTCTTGGTCTTGATCTTGCTTTTTCTGCAAGACTGAGACCAAGACCGCAAGACCAAGACTAGTCTCGCTCATCGCTACTTAGACGCGTGTCTGTAATTATTCATTATTCAATTTTTATTTTTATTTTGCATTAAAGTGATTATTCAATCCAATTTGTTATTAGTGTGTGTGTCAAGGAGCAATCACAGGTCAGTTGAATAACTGTTATTTTATTTTTGAGAGTTCAATTATTTATACAAGTATCATTTTTTTCATTTTTAGGTTTTTTTGTTTGTTCATAACATTTTTTATAACATGTGCATTGTTCATGTATTTACCAAAAATCGTTTCATGCTGATGACACAGATAAGGACTAAATTGAAACCTAAAAGAAATTGTGTGCTGTCTCTTTGTGCTAGGATTTTGATTTTTGGATTTAGAGCGTGTATTAGGGCCTTGTTGAATTTACTATCATTTTCCTACCCTGGCGAGGGAATATCCTAATCAATTTAGAAATATTGGCTCGAAAACAACTATAGCTCAGTAGCTTTCCGTATGGGACCTCAGTACCTGCTGGGAAACTGGCTAACAAAATGACTCTTCATTATTGAATATAGGTAGTGTTGATTGAATGTAGTGTGTTTAATTGAAATTTTAGCACAAGAACAGAGGCGGTACATTGTTGCAACTTTTATTGAATAAATGACTCACTCACAATTATTATTGAAATGACACAGTATGTTTCGGTTTTCGAGGAATGTTAGATCGAGGGTTTCTCTGCTGTGCTCTTTCCCCTCGTTAGTTCCAGGATGAGAACGGTACGATTAACTTTAATAATAAAGTAGACGTTTCATAAATATTTCGTTTCTTTTACATATCACAACTTCCCTTAAATTTCCCAAATATTTGCTATGTCGGGCGCATGTCCAGTAAGTAAAATTCAGTAAGTTTCCACAACGTAGGTACCATTTGTTTTTCATAAGATTTGTTGTTTAAAAGGTAATAAAAATTCACACCGTTCAATCTTACTGAACGAACCCGGGTATGTTATACTACAATATGTTTAAAAAATCATTGCAATCTTTGATTGGTTTATTTTTGAACACCCGATACAATATCTTGTAATTTTCATCCCTGATTTTTTATAAATATAGACTGGATTTAAATAAATTCAGATGGTTTCTGACACTCAAATCAGTTGGTTTATTTACAAATACCTAATTATTTAGATTTTTTAAATTAGAATATTAGTAAAATTTGTGCACAAAGTCCTTTTTGTTTTATTTTAAAATATTATAAAGGTAATAATGAATATTTGTAGGTAAGTTTTTTCCTATAAAACGTAATTATTGCTACAAGTGCCATTAATACATCTAAGTCCAGCAGCACACACTGAAAAAGAAGGACCATCTCTGACACAATCCTGTCCAGCACCTATAATGAATGAATGAAAAGAAATAGTATATACATATACTTTATAGACAATCTCTTCTTAAACTCACCGACAATTAATTTGCACACTCTACAGCAACCACAATAATCCAGACTAACAGTGGAATTTTCTCCATGACATGTTGGATAAGACTCTTTGCATAAGATATCTGTACATTTTCCACAAAGGCCAGACTTGGGAGTTTCGCTATAGAATAAAATATAATTTAAATTAGTTCGTTTAAGATGGTCCGCAGATTATACAGGGTGAGGCACGAAAAACTTCCCTACCAGGTTTTCTCAGGTGTTAAGTGATTGATCAAAAATCGCTCAGACCCGTTTTTGGGGCACAAATTTTATTGGTAGGTATTTTCACCCCCTACCAGTTAACCCCTAAACGGGGGTGACAGGTACCCCCAAAATTTCAAATGAAAAGGGGGGTCGAGTGATACGTCATTTGATAGTTATTTTTATTAAGATTATATCCTCGAAGTTTCAAGTTACTATTTACCATGCCGAAATGGCGGCTTGTCAAATTTGTGTGGTGTTTATCTCATAATAACAAAACAACAGATTTTTCAAGTGAATAAACATGAACCATTTTGGACTGGACTCAGTGAACTGTTCAATGACAATATCTAAATTAAATATAACAATGTTATTTTATAACTATGGATAGGTAGGTACCCTTAAAAAATCTGTTGTTTTGTTATTATGAGGTAAGAACCAGACAGTTCAGATAGGTACTCAGAAAAAAAGGATTTTTTCTAACTTTCACAAGCCGCCATTTCGGAAGGGTTAATAGTAGCAACCTAAAACTTCAAGGATATAATCCTATCTATAGCTATCAAATGTCGTATCACTCGACCCCTCCCCCCCCTTCCCATTTGAAATTTTGGGAGTACCTGTCACCCCCGTTAAGGGGTTGACAGGTAGAGGGTTAAAATACCAATAAAATGTGTCCCCCAAAAAACAAAAGTTGACGGGTCCTGCTTTACACAAAAAAATATAGAATTTGAGTGTTTTTTTTTTTAATACAGGGTGATATAGGAAGTACGGTAAAAATTCGAAATTTTTGTTGCCACACCATTTCTACAATTATTTTTATTTATTTTTTTTTGTCATACCCGAATGATTATTATATTGATCCCTCGAACCGTTTTTGGATTTTTTCGTATATATCTTTTTAGGTTTATAAAATAATGCAAATTTAGTGTTACATTGATTCCCAGAGCTTCAAACCCATCGTGGACAAGTTTAAGCAGTATCTTAGGATCCGCTAGTTTAAATTTACTTGCTATGATCACAATTAAAACTAACTGACGTAAATAAGCTTTATACAAAATATACAGGGTGTGCGACGATACTTTAAACTTGAAATTTCTAGTTTTGCATAATTTTGCCATTTTCTACAGAAAAGAAAGTGTCAAGGACGGAAAATACATTTTGAGTTACTTTGAAGGCTTTATGTCACTTCTCCAATGTAATTCCAAGAAACAATTTAGTTACGTTACGTCATAATTTGTAAACCTATAAAACAATTGTTTCCTCAATTTCTTGATATTTGCCGCGATCAACAGGTCCTAAAAGAATAAATATTTTTACTTGCTAACATTTTGGACGAATTTTTAATTGTATACAGGGTGTCCCCGAATCAATCAATTGAATTTCGCAATTTAATAAAGGTAGGTATTTAGTTTGTTTACTTTGTAAAATCGATCATACAGTAAGTGGCATCATCTAGAAAGCATATGATTTGGGGACACCCTGTGCACAAGTAAAAATTCGTCTGAAATGTTAGCAAGTAGAAATAATTATTCTTCAAGGGCCTTTTGATGGCAGCAAATATCAAGAAATTGTGGAAGCAATTGTTTCATAGGTTGTCGTATTATCAATTATGACGTTCTCGGTAACTTTCTGAAAAAATGGATGACAAAAGAAACCTTGAAATTGTTTTTTGGAATTACATTGCAAAAATGATATAAAGCCTTCAAAGTAACTGAAAATTTATTTTCTGTCCTTGACACCTTATTTTCTGTAGAATATGGCAAAATTATGCCAAAGTTGAAATTTCAAGTTTAAAGTATCCTCGCACTCCATGTTTTGTATAAAGCTTTTTCACGGCAGTTAGTTTCAATTGTGATCATAGCAAGTAAATTGAAACCAGCGGATCCTAAGTTACTGCCTGAACTTGTTAACGATGGGTTTGAAGCTCTGGGTATCATTTTTGCATTATTTTATAAACAAAAAAAGATAAAGAAAAAGTCCAAAAACGGTTCGAGGGATGAATATAATAATCGTTTGGCTATGCCTAGAAAAAATAAATAAAAATAAATGTGGAAATGGGGTGGCAAAAAAAATTTTGAATTTTTAACGCACTTCCTCTATATCACCCTGTATAAAAGAAACACTCAAATTCTATATTTTTTTGTGTAAAGCAGATGATCAACAAGGAATCGCTTTTAAAAATGGTGAAAACGGCATATTTTTCCGTTAATTTATATAATTTACTAGCTGACCCGGCGAACTTCGTACCGCCTCTGAATTATTGAATATACCTATTAAATGTTGTGTTAACGTATCTATTAGCTGAATTAAATTAAATTCAGTTATTTTCGATGGTGAATTTGGCTTTGTTTGAAGAAAATTAATGTTTACTCTCTGGATCAGAAGTCACCTGAAATTAAAATTTTACATCATCCTTTTAAAGAATGTAAAGAAAACAAAAAAAATCTCTAGCGCAGCCTTGTTTCACTCTATCTGCACTGCATGCACTGCACTACTCCATCTGTTCTACTGTACCTATCTGCACTACTCTTTATGATCTACTCTTTCTGCACCACTCTATCTGATCGGAATAGTGGAATAGTTCTGTTCGAAATAGCTCCAGTTCCTGAGCAGCATTGTTCTACTGTATCTGCAATGCCGAGATTCGTTCCAGGTATCAGAGATGGCGCGGTATACAAAATACAAAATAAACTTGGTATCGGTTATAAGAGATGGCGCCGTATGCGGGCTTAGTAAATTTTTTTCATAAATAAATGAAAGAGGCTCGAAAAGAGGTAGTGAAATGATCACATTAATGACATAACAACATGCTGGTACTGTCAACGCTGGAAAATGTTCAATTTGACAGCAAAATCCCCATTAACAAAATGATCCTCCATTTATTGAATAATTCATTTATTACAAAAAATTTGATAAATGAAGAACCGCTCGACCGATTTTGTGCAAACTTTACATAAACCATCTAATAAATAGTCCGAACAAAGCCTAAACATTTGGTTTGGTTAGGTGAGCCCGTTCTTGAGTTATAAAATTACAACGAAAAGTGGCATTCATTTTTATATATATAGATATATAAAAGTTGTCGCGTCTCAAAAATTGGTGAAATTTATGCTTGGAACGAATCTATTAGTTGAGTAGTTTATATCCCATTCCCTTCTGTTTTGTTTTGATACTACAGACACACATTCTATCCTAACTTCTTAGGATTTATAGGCAAATAATTCAAACTAAAGATGATTCATTTTCCTGCACTGATGAATTATAATTTTTCATGTATGGACACCTATCGCTTTAAACCTTTTTTTACCAAATATGGGTTCTCTTTTATTTAATTCCATGCTTTGGGTAAAGCAAGCAATCGCATGGCTTTTTCCTAACATTTGTTGATTTAGTAACTCCATTTTCCAAATGTATAGTTCGTTCTTAGTGTTGTTAATTATCTTCATATTTCAATTTGAACTTTCCAACTTCAACTGATCGAAATTCTCAATTTCTTTTTAGATTTACTTCAAATTTATGTCGTTTTCTTACTCGGAGTAAATTTTAGCGGTCCATTTTTTTGAATGATTACAGTTCAGTGAATTTTATTTTTTATGAGAATAATTTTGATGATATGGATGAAAGAAATACAATTACCTGCAATGCTGACAACATCCACAATCGTCAAAAATCAAATGAGGTTTTTCTTCAGGACAAGGACCGAGTGGAGCGGCACAAAATACATGTTGACAAATAGTCCAATCTTCACAGTAGGCACCACTTGCAAAATGCAAATTGCATAGTGATAAAATATTGAATATAAAAAAACCACTTACATAAATTGGATGCATATTGTCTAAAAAATACCAAAACACAATTGAAATTTATAGGTACCTACTGATGATGCTTTTTACCACAGTTGTTAGGTAAGTATGCTATTGATGAAAAATGAATAGCTATTTCATATAAGTTTACTTATTATATATAGGTTTGACGTGTTTGGGATTTCCGTTAATGATTTAATTTGTTTTTGTTTCAGAGATTATTGTTTTCAAAAATAATGTGCGATTAAAAAAACAGAAACAACCTTCTTTGCAAATATTTGCATAAAACAACAATTTTTTTTTTAAATGAAATATTAGCTGATAATCAAATATTTTACACCATAAAAGGTTATTAATAGGCACCCGCATTTAATTTATTTGCATAAATTAGATATTTGTTTGTAGTTTCCCTATAGATAAGGACATTATTACTTCCTATTTAAACTAGAATGCTACCATTTTTCATTTCAGTGCGTAAAATTGAAAATGAACAACAGAATCCTTCACACTTCGTTGTTCGCAATTCTCTGCATTAATACTAAATTAAATTTTGTAAATGGTATTTGTGAAGATTGGTCAATTTGCGAGTTAGTTGATTGTGCAAAACCACAAAATCCTTGTCCAAAGGACAAACCCTATTTGGTTTATGATGATTGCGGATGCTGCCAATTTTGTAGGTAAGTGTTCAAAAATTAAGTTTTTCCGTAAACATTTTATGTGCCATTTTAGTGAAAACCCGAAAACTGGACCTTGTGGCACTTGCGGTAAAGATTTAGTATGTAAAGATGATAACCCCTATCCCACATGCAAAAGAAATCAAATAATAAGTATTGACTATTGTGGTTGCTGCAGAGTATGCAAGACGGTTGTTGGTAAATATAAACTTTCATAGAGTAAATTTGTTTACCTAGGTTAATGAACTATTTTAGGTGAAGGAGGAAAATGCTCTGACAAAGGACCATCTTATACAGTATGCAAAAAAGGATTGAAATGTATTGATGGAACTTGCAGAAAATCATGTTGACCCTTTATCACCTATATTTCTATTTTTTGCTAAATATATTATGGAAGTGAAGTACCTACCTACTTGGTTAATTGTTTGAATTTGGCACGAGCCAGCACAGTTTCCCTTGCAGTAGCACCGCAACAAGAAAATATGCTCTTCGGTGCCGATAAGGCATCCATCCATTTGCCACACGAAGATACCAGCCATTTCCCACGCATGCACGGAAGGTTTGGATTCCAGGCTTCTGAACCAAATTCTGGCTTGTAAGTTTTCACGTTTACTGTGTTGTCTTAAGGTGTCTTTACGAGGAGACATTAAGAAGCTCTCAAAGAACGTGATTTCCTTGTCCTGAAGCTTGACGATATCCTATTTTTTCTTATTCTGTGAGGCTCGAGTAACCTGAGTCTTTCGTTGTTAAGCTGTCAGTACGCAGACCAGAGGAAGGTGGTTAGATGGAAGATCTGCCCCTGGATAAGATTTGACCGTGTTTAATCTTTATTTTTGCTTTCCGGGACGCCACTGAATTTAATAATTTTAATCCAATCAGCTATAAATTGATCTCTGCTACTAAGAACAAGCCTGCCAAGTCTTATCAAAATTGAAAATCTTGAAAATTTCGCCAGCATCTAGCTTTTACCTATTTTGCTAAACGCTTCAATAAATATTTGCTCCTCACAAAAGTTTTTCCTGGCCAGCGCAAGCACTCTTTGTGATGCACCCTTACATCCAGACAAGCAATTATACCCAATACAATGGGAACTGTAAAAAGCTGTTCCCGGGATAAGACTGTAGCATTGCACATGCAACCTGTGCTACTTCTTCCTTTTTTGTTTCAAATATAATTTTATAAGTTAAATTATTACTTTCATTTTTGACAGTCTGGTGTCCTGCTGTTAATAATATTAGCAATTATTAAACTAGATGGCACGATTCTCGTTTAAGTTTGAAGTACCAGTTTAGTACCAACACTTTCCGTTGGCTGTTTTTTGAGGGGAAGCTCTGCCTGTTCATCTTGTCTGTTTTTTCCTCGCCCCTTTCAAATTTTGTCGTTGTTCCTGAAAAGGTCGACCCTGGGCTGAAAACCGCCATATTCCTGAGACAACCGTGCTCGTGAAAAGTACCTAATACCTTATCGGCCATCAGGCACTATTTTAACGAAATAAAGTTGCGTAAGGCAATAATCCATTAAATACCGAAAAAATTTAAATCAAAAGTCTTATGATTACCATTTTATTTGAGTGGTAAGTCCTTTTTATTTATTTTTGTAAAGTAATGGTTGTTCATGATATACCTCTATTACTTAGGGTTTTTCGAGGAGGCGTTTCTCTCAACGAATCCATTTCCAACAAGCTCACAGATTTAAAGATTACCATTTTCGTGGAACGTGGGCATAGAGCTTTTGAAGAGATTCCTAGAGGAATCAAGTCCCTCACTTATTAACTCCGGTACCTCCACATTTGACGATAACTGAGAACTTCTAGCCTCTATCTACCTTGATGCAACTACCTTAATGCAACTTCCCTCGTCAATTGACAGAAAATAAATGGCTGGATGGCTACCGTAATACACCTTTTGTTGGAATGGAGGCTTGTATAAAGTTTCATTAATAACTCTTAATATTTTTTTTTCCGCAACTGTCAAAAAAAGATGATGTTTGCACACTGATGACAATTTACGAAGTGATACTTTTTTTCCCAGGTATGGTTTTTGTATCGTTCCCATGACGCCGTGCACGAAATGCTTCTCCAGTGTCCGATATGCCTAGTTCGCACACTAGGGCAGGTATTTGTTACCTGACAGAAAACCAAACATAATTAAAATTTACCTGCCTTCGATTGTAATTGCATTTCAGCTTCGAATGATCGATATTTAAATGGAGTTGTATTGTTTGCAACTCGTGCGCGAAATACTTTGGTGATCTCGACTATTTTTTTAACTCGGCTGCACCTCGTTAAAAAAATCAGTTCTCGATCACCAAAGTAGCATTTCGCGCACTAGATACAAAAATAACTATTTTTCTCTATTATCTATTTTATGATCAATTAACATATTTCATTAAATTTTCACTGATATGACATTTAAATGTTCAAAATTTTAATTTCGCATTCTTGACACCGAGGTGACAATGGAATAATTGATATTCTGGATTTTTGATTTATCGAATTTATTATAGATTTATCGTTACCTAACTCTCGCATGAGAAATAAATGTTATTATTCATAATCAATAATCTGAACTGAAGTCACGGTTGGACAACATGTCCTAAATTTGAAATTATTGAGTAAGTACCTACATCTTCGAAAATTGATCAATTTTTAACTTGGGTCCTATACTTATACAATGTATTTGAGCGTTTCTATTATATCTCCTGACCATTGAACCCAACTTTCGATTTCATACAGGTGCAAGTTGATTTTATTGAATTTATTCTTTGAGGAGAAGTTGACCCTATTAATCAATACCTACCTACAATTTTCAATCATCCATTTTTTTTAGTTACTTTTCTGGAAACTTAAATCTTTTATATTTTCATTCATGACAATGATATGGCCAGCGACTGTTAATGAACTTACAATACATATGGCAAGTATATTGAGGTAGGTATATCGTAATATATATTTTATTTTTTTGAATTTGATGAATCTGATCGAGAGTTAACCTCTATTTATTGATTTTTTTTAAAAGTTTTTTAACTATTGATTTTATATGTTAAAATTATTCATTGCCGTAAACCGGGGCGGGGCTACTTGATAGCACTTTTGGAATTCAATTAATCGCACACATCAGTGAAGAGCGTTTACAGCCAAATAAAAAAAAAATCGTAGATAACTTTGGACCCTTGGCGATCGATTGCCATGAAAATGATTTCTCCATCCCCCACCCCCTTTCGGCAAAAAAATTTGAAGGGTGTTTTTCAAGTCACCCCGCGAGAGGGTTACTTGAAAATCTCCGTTTTCTGGCGTTAAAAATGCAAATAGGAGCCTAATTGGGGCTTCATGAAAAAGAGAATAAAATATAGGCATTATGAAAACCTTTTTCTGCAAAAAAAAAAAACATATCAGGCAGACTTTTATTATTCAAAAATACATAAAACTAAATCTAATCGGAATTTTGTTCAAATCACTGTTCTCTTTCAAGCTTGCGCCCCTCCTACACCTTCTAATGGCCTCGCACATGTCTTCATCTGAATAATCTCTGTATTTCCTACTTCCAACCATTCGTACATGGTTTCGCACCATTTTTCAAGTCGCCCCTAAAATGACAAAAAAAAAAAAATGACACCGCCATTTGTAAACTATGAAGACCATCGTTAATCTATTGCTATACCCTTTTAGCCTAATAAGTAGGCATACCAAAATTAATTTGACGCCACCTAGAAATATTCCACTTACCTGCACCAACTGGAAGTATTCAGCCTTAAAAATAACACGTGTTTTGTCTTGAAATTCCGTAACAGCGACTCGGCACTTAAACCAGCAGGGTGCAACCGTTTTTGGATTTACGGGCTTCCATCTTTAACGCCAAGGTGGTAGGATAATATATTAATTTATGATGCAAGTATTTTCAAGTAGCCCCGTAACTCTCAAGCCACCCTTTTTCAAGTACTTGATTTTTGACCTTACTGTAAAAATATATACTAATTTGATTTGGGAATTGCTTGAGTGTCTTATTGGTTTTACCTATGTCAAGATTTTGTTGGGTTACGCTCTCGAGCTACATCAGCCATTTGGTCATGCCGAAGACTTGCTGGCAAAACATGGGGGCTAAAGCCAAATATGGTATTCTGGATCTACCAAACCATAATAAAGCCCATGGTCACATACGCCTCATTGGTGTGGTGGCCCAAAACCCAACAAGTCACCGCTCAGATTAAGCTAAGAAAGGTGCAAAGGCTGATATGTCTAGGAATAACGGGACCAATGTCAACTTGCCCCACCGCAGCCCTAGAGACGCTACTCAACATGCCCCCACTTCACCTATGTGTGAAAAAGGAGGCAATAACCAGCGCTCACAGGCTATTCCAAATAGACAAGTTCAAGCTTGGCGATCTGAGGGGACATCTGAGAATCCTTGATCTAATAAAACTGGAGAATGCCAGCAAACCAAGTGACCACATGATGGTCAGATTAGACTTAGAGATCCCCTTCGCAGTGGTAATAAACGACCGCCAATCATGGGAGAATAAAGAACTACCACAAGCAGACAATGCATCTCTGTGGTACACAGATGGATCCAAGCTAATGGAAGGAGCTGGACTGGGCATTTCCGGCCCTAACTTCAAGCTCTCCAAGGCATTGGGTAAACATCTTACAATATTTCAAGCCGAACTGCTTGCCATAGATATATGTGCAAAGAGTGTCTTAACCAAAGCCTCAAAAGAAAACACATCTTCATACTATCGGACAGCCAAGCTGCCTTAAAAGCCTTAAGGGCTTTCAAATGCACGTCAAAACTAGTCTGGGAGTGTAAGCAGACCCTAAAAACACTAGCGACACATAACCAGGTAACGCTGATGTGGCTGCCTGGTCATCGAGGCATAGAAGAAAACGAAGAAGCAGATGGCCTCGCAAAAGAAGGGGCCTCAACACCATACCACGGACCAGAGCCCTACTGTGGCTTAATGAAAAGCCACATCATGGAAGAACTCAACAAATGGGAGAAAGATCAACTGTCATCATATTGGAGGCACACACCGGGACTCAGACAGTCAAAAAGGTTTATTGCCCTTTCAGCAAAAAGAGCTGAACAGCTCCTAAACATGAGCAGACCAGACATCATATTGGTGGTGGGACTGCTCACAGGACACTGTCCAGTAAAATACCATTTAAGGTTAATGGGCAGAGCGGAAGACGATCTCTGCAGATTCTGCTCAGACGCAATAGAGACCGCAGATCACCTGCTCTGCGAATGTCCAGCCCAATTCTGCAAGAGGCTCAAATTCTTCGAGGGGGCAACACTGTCACCAGAAGAAGTGGGCCAACTGACACCCAGGAAAATAGCTTCCTTCGGCAGAAGTCTACGCTTCCTGGAGACAAATTAAGATGTAGACTCACGCAGAAAATATCTGCAAAGGTAGTAGTGCTGAGCGGCTGAAAAGCCGAAACGACTCCCCCGAAATCTACAATCTACCTATGTCAAGATTTGGTTGGGTTACATGCCTTATTTATTTCCTTTTCAGAATTATCAATTACCGTTTGCTGATAAATTTTTTTTAGGTGTGTTTCTGAATTTCCACACTTATATCTTATGTAATTTAATTATTTATTTTTTAAAATTTAGTGGCGCCCTTGCCATTCTGTACTTAATAAACTATTGACCCACCTCTAATAATTAATCTCTGAGCAAACTGAGCATATTATGGGCCTCCTGTTAATTTGTTAACAAAAGGGGTTACAAGGCACATAAGACTAGAGGTGGGCCAACCTGCGATTTTACTGGAGCTGTGACAAGACGTGACTGCTCCAGTCATGTCACGGTGACAAATAGCAGTGATTTTTTGGAGCAGTTTAACATTGATTGACCGTGCTGGTAATACATAAAAATGCTACATTACATAATCGCAGTCCGCCCAGTTCGCAGTCACAGCCGAGAGAGGTGTGTTCCAGTTTGCCCTCTGCAGTAGCAGTTTCTGTTTGGCGTCACTGCGAAGCAATTTACAATAAATATTTCATTATTTACATCACTTTGACTTGAGTTTAGTTCGCGCTGCATCGGTGAGAGATCGAAGCGACTGTGACAGAATGTCACTGCTACTTGAGTGGGACTGGAGCAGGCTGTGACTGTGACAGACGAGTAGCAGTGACAAAGTCACAGTTTGTGAAATCGCAGCCCACCTCTACATAAGACAGATACTTCCTGGGAAACTTAAATAACTGTTAAAACACTTTTGTTCATCTTCACAATACGCCATCCTGCCCATACTTGATTCTACTTAATTTGGGCAAGGGTAATGTTTTTTTTCCAAATAATTTGCAGACTTTCTTGAAATGCCCAGCAAAATTTACCTACCAGAGTCTATGGAAACGAGAATATTTCAATCCCTATTTTCCATTGGATTTTAGGTTTATAAAGTGCTTTTTGTTCGGCCAGAAAAGTGAACGCTCGAGAAGCTATGATTCCCGAATCAATGAAATCAGACGCTGTTGATTCATCAACAGATATTCTAGTAGATAAATGTAAAGTATCTGCAGGGTTGGGATCATCAAGAGGTCGGTCCACTTGTCACATCTTTCTCATCTCCAAGTATTTGTCAGAGTAACACACTGATTTGTGTCGTTGGATATGATGTTGGAACACTGCGAAGGTTTTAGTACTAAATCTACTGAAACACTTGAACTCTAAAAAAAAAACCTCAATCTAAAAAGTATGCTCGAGCCGAGGCTCGAGCAAGAAAAGGGCTATTCTTTTTTAGTTTAATTAATTCAAGAAAGTGTAAGACAGATAGAGCGTCAGTAGTTCACTTTATCCATCTAGTGTGAAATAGCTAAAAACAACACTTAATTTCTTGCGCAATTACCCTCTAGAGAATAGAAAGATAATTGGTGCTATTTTAGGTCGATATATTTCATCCGAAAGGACGACATTGCTCCATTACTTGTACGCAGATAAATATGTCAAGTCATGGAGCGTGTACTTAGCAAGAAGTATACCAATGATAGGCAGAGGGTTGCAGATTGTGCGGAAGTTCCCCATCATGGGGAAGATTTGCCATGATTCTTCTTGTTGATGTGCCATCGATAATTCACCATAAAGAGTTTAATCCAGCACAACTTCTACAGGTATTTGCTTCAGTTCTCCGCAGGGCTTTCAATTGTTGGCAAATAATGATAAATAAACTTAGATCGTGTATACCTACTGAACCTAGTCCATCATTTTTTTTTTGTTGGATTTCGGGTTCCACAAGTCTTGTGGAAAACGATACGGTGTGTCTTGGTTTATCAATAGATGATGCACTCTCAGCAGGAAGATTATTGGTTGCTTTATTACGAGATATTCATTCCTTGTTTTCTCAATGTAGCATGGAAGAGATTGATCTCCTCTTTTTATTCTCCTTATTTTGCTAATGGGCGCAAAATTATAGAGTGCATGTTGTGTTCAAGTACCAGCTAAAAAAACCTGTCTATGTTATTGAAGGCAAGCCCAGTAGAAATCAATTATTGTACTTCACTTGGCAGAGCAACAAAAAGTGATTTGACGAAAGTAATAATTTCTTTCTTGATAAATCCAGCATTATCAATATCAAGAAGCTTGGTGACTCTATCTATACAACCATACCATGCCAATTTAACTAAACTGCTGGACAAATGAAGCGGAACAAGCGAGTTTTTAGTTTAACTTTGGATTCCAATATTACGCGAACTAGAGAGGATATCAATGAGTGATTTGCGTAATTTAGAAGTTGATTTTCGCAAACCGCTCATCGATACTTTTTGCAGTTCGCGTATAATTGGAATTTGAAGCAAACCTAAAAATTGGCTTGCTCCGCTTCATTTGTCCAGCAGTTTATTTCATTGCTTCTGCGTAACCCATTAGAATTTGATAAAATATACAATTTATAAGACATGGCAATATTAAAAGGTAATTAAATATATGGAACAATAAATTCAATAAATCGGAAATTTTCTAACAGTCACTCTGGTGTCAGGAATTCGAAACTAAAAGTTTAAACGTGAGGTCAGTAAGAATTTAATAAGTTACGGTTACTGATCACAAGGAAGATTTTATAAAAATAATTAGGTAAAAGTTGGTGTATTGTAGCCATCCATTTTCTGACCCTGAATTGAAGTAGATAGAGATAGAGCCTAGAGGTTCAGTTTCTTCGTCAAATGTTGAGGGACAGGTATTGACACGTGAAGAAACTGATTCCTTTAGGAAATCACTCCAAAATTTCTATGCTCGCAAGCTCTAGCCAAACGATCTGCCTGGAAAAATGAAGCTCCACGACAATGGGAGATCGTTTGAAATGGGAGCTCATTGGAAATGGGAGCTCTTCGAAAGACCCTAAGTAATAGAGGCATTCTCATGAACAACCATTACATTTAAAAAGTTTAAAAAGTTTAAAAAGAACTTACCACGAAGGGGTTCGATATTCAAACTCGAATAAAATGGAAAACACAAGACTTCTCGACCCGATATAAATTTTTTTGGTAATTAACGAAACATTCCCTCATGCAAATTTATTTCATTAAACTAGTGCCTGATGGCCGAAAACCCACTTTCTTTCCACAAGAATGGTGATCGATATTGGACTTGGGAAGATGGCGGTCCCCAAGCAAGGATCAACCTTTCGGATCGAGCGGCAAAACTAAAAAGGCCTGAGTAGCGAGCAGCTAACTCAGAGCACCCTTCTCATTTACAGTGCTCGGGTACAAGAGAAAGTTACTAGTCTTTTGACTGACTTAAAAGCTGGAGACACTTGCGCCAAAAAAAAAAAAATATTTAAAAAAAAACACTAGCATTTACAGAGTTCATTCTTGGTTTAGTTTCCTTAGTTATTATTTTATGTTTTATCAATATATCGATCGGTATCTTGACGTTTTGAAAGCCTATTTTACATTAGAAATTAATAGAAGGTTATCTCACAATATCTATTATCTAATATGTAGTTTTAGCAAATAGATAATATTATCAATTGAGTTAAATTTTTCTGTGATCCTTTGACTCGCAGCCATGTCTCATGTGGATATAATACTTAATACACTATCGTGTAAGGATGTTTATGCCTAGCTATTGAACGAAAAGAGAAAATCAGATGCCGCCTTGAGTGAGTCTACTTAATAATAAATAAAACCCAGAATTAATGCATAATACGTATTTATTGCCACTTATCTCTTACAACATTTAAAATAGTATAAAAATAAGACAATAATGAATTAAATAATGAGTTAATATTCATTACTACAGATCTGTGTTAATGATGTTATTATTACTGTTAAATATTTACATTGCATATACTAATTATTGTAGAAGCCTATTATAGTTATATCTCTAGAAATATCAATATGATTAATAAATATGTATAAATAACTTAAATTTATAATATCAAAGAAGACCACAAAAGCGAAAATATTTCTTACTGTTACACACGTCTTTTGTCAAAAGTCAAAAATTTTATATCGAAATAATTGTAACAGTAAAAATAGGCGCATATTTAAAAAATAGATCACAGAGAATGGTACCCTCCACCATAAAAACCTACACCAGTGCCCGAAAAAATGTTGAAATAGGTACTTGAAAAGTTTTAATATCAAATATATTTGAGTCTTGTAGTACATAGTCTTGCAATCTGTTCACGTATAAAAGAAAGACAAACAAAAAATCAATTACAGAAACGGTAATAAATGATGGACATATTTTTCCTGCTAATGGGCAGAATTATTTTTGGTACTACTTTATTAATTTATTTCAATGGCGGTTTTATGTCTTTCTACTCACCGTGAACATACTCAAGAATACCCATGAATATTATTTTATTGTCTTCTTTATTGCTATACTGTTTTTCTTATAATTATAAGGTCCACCGCATTTCTTATTTTTTTTCCTAATATGAAATGATAATTATTTTAGCTGTCCTTCAGACTCAACAAGAAATACGGTGAAAAAAGTTCAAATTTATCTTATTTGGGTAAAACAGCCTATTTAAATTTTTGTAAATTGAATTTGATCTAAAATACAGCCATTTCACCACATTATTCAAATAAATCTTGGGGTTATACTACTTTATAAATATTTTTCTTTATTTTCGTTATTATTTTTTTTAAATTATATACACAATCATACAACCCAAAAATTTACTTGCAGGCTTTTATTCTATACCTATTTTTATTAATAATTATTATCATAATATCAGTTGATATAATATCCTATGCAGATTATACTTGTCATTCGATTTTATTTAAAAAAAAAAGGTACTAAATTTCAGTATATGTCGATTACGTAGGATGTTTACCTAAAGTTATTGCACTTAGTTCAAGCGAACTGTTTTCCAGGAGTCAACCATTTCTTCATATAGTAGCAAAACAGTGTTGTGATGTAGAGGAGTACTAGAAGTGCACAGGTTACACCTAAAGCTAGCACTGAAGTTTTCGTTGGGCACGGTTCAATGATTGTAACTGTTTTGTCTAAAGAAAAAGTTATAATGTAGATTTTATCCATAGTTTCCATACAAAATGCTTACCTTTTCCAAAATCTGCACTGGCAGAATCGCTCTTCAAATATTCAGATTGTTTTTCATCACCGAAGTCCAAAACAAGGATTTCTTGACTCAGTGTCATATCTTCCTCCTTCTCTTCATCAGTTTGATTTTGAATGCTCCTCTTTTTTCTGCCCCATGATTCAATTGAGTCACGTCCCCATTCACAGACAGCCTAGAAAAATATTTTATCAATAAAATTCTAATTCATTTGAAGATGAGACTCTTACAGGTTCGCAAGGTCCTAAACAATATTTCACATTGCACTGGAAGATGACACCATATGATTCAGTGAACCTGAAAGCTTCGTAGACAGATTGAAGAGCATTGCCGTCTGGTGTAAAAGCTGGGAAAATACTGGGGTCGACAGGACAGCCATCGTCGTCGATAATTTGGAAGGTGCTTTTAGCATCTTTGGCCATCGCCACGCAGCTTCTGGCGAAAATACCATAAGGAGCTAAATAACAGAAAAAAAATAAAGCTTTATCTAATTTTTCATTATTCCAATGTGGTTTAATCGCGAATAAACATACATTAACATGCTAGTAAAGTTTGAGCAAAACATGCCACACGGATCTTTGTTTTACGTGTTTTTGTGGCGACATTAAATTTTCCGTTTTCTGTCATTAAACATTTTATCACCTCTTCCATTAAAGTTTTATTACCTCTGGGAAATGGAATTTCCAGTGTAAATTTTGGCGACTAGTGGTGTTCGTCGTAGTAAATAACATTTTCCTGTATGCATTTAATGTGGAATGCAAAATATAAAAGATTCAGAATTCGAAAAATATATGACGCTCGGGAACGAAACTGTTATATAGCTGTGGAAAATTGGAAAACTACTAAAAATTGCAGAGAAAAATCATGCTGTGAAAAATTTAATCCTTGAAGGAAGAAAAATTTGTTTTCCAAGGATGACTCGAAATTTAAAATTTGAACTAGATTGGTCAAAATTTGTAAGTCTCTATTTTATTGTGTAAAATAACTTGAACTGAAAAAAGTACCTAACATAAGTCTTCTATATGAAAATCTCAGTTGAAACATACTGAAATTTCAAAAGAATTGACTTATTTAATATATTATGTGATAAAGATGTTGTGACTTTAATTTAATATTTACTAAGCATCTGTTGTTTGTCTGAGAAACACTTTTTCCCCCTGTACTTATAAACCTTCAACATGACATGTTCCACGTATTTTTTGAAGGTTTCGACTGAAACATATCAGCAGAGCTACATAGTTATAAGAGAGGACTGATAAAAAAGTTGCAGCGCAAAACTCTCATCTCTCTTGTAGTGATTACAATTTACTTACTGTCTTCAGGTATTTCAATTCTGAAAGTGAGCTTGTCTCCGATTCTGACCGTTTCGACTTCTTTGAGGCGGCTGTCCAGGATTCGGATTCTTGGTGGTGGAGCTTCAGGAGCAGAAGTAATACTGATCATTTCTGGATCTCTGGAAAAACAAAATTATGTTTTAAATAAAACAACTAAATTATTGTATTATCTACTCATTTGAAAATGTAAGAAAAATTATTGTTCAATCAATTGTATAGTGATGCTGTTTTTATCTATTATTACTACTTTGGGCATTTAAAATATTTTTTATAGCAGAAATTATCTAAAACTCATAAAATCAATCTATCTGTTGGGTGTGTTGGGGGAAAGTCATAAACTCTCGAGTTATAGTCACATGCTGGCATACCCATTAATATTTCGCCATTTTTTTTTCTGGTAAGCAATATCAGAATTCCATAAAAGTGACGTCGTTTCGTCGTTTATTGATGCAAAATAATATATATTTTTTTCGTTTTTTTGCTCAACCAGAAGTTTATGACAGCGCTTTGAGGTATATGGAAATATAGCGTATTGGGGTTTGACAGCAAATATTTTAAGTCGAGAAAATATACATAATTTCGAATATAAATAACATAAGAAAAAATGTAACAGTCTACATAATTTGACAAAAAAATCGCCGAAATATAATATTAAAGCGTGAACATCAATAGTTAAAGAATTACGCACCTGATTGGCATCATTCCGAAGGTAATATTCTTGGACGACATATCGTAAGTACATTTAACTTTGTAGATCTTATCAGCTTTGGTCATGACTACACTGTGATGCTGTAGCACTACTGTGTTACTGTAGACTCCAGTCTTAAAAAAAGCGCTTATTAATTTACCATTAAAAAAAAAGCGAGGATTAATCTTACCACTGATTGAGTGTTGCAATCTTGTCCAGTCATTGTGAGGTCCAGCCTGAAGAGGTCGCTATTGATGACGTCAACGTTACAGGTTTCTGATCTACCCAAAGCGTATATTCTACCGTTGAATGGTTTGTTGGTTCTTACTGAGACAGCGATCTTTGTATCTTTGCAGTTTACAGCCACTGAAAAAAAGAAATTAGAATGAACAACAAGCTTTTCAGGGTTTTTTGGTGAATTTTGGTCATTTAAAATTTGTTATATCAAGTCCATTTGTGCGTTTTGATCGAAATTATGCCAAATATTCACTCTGCAGCTCGATATTGATAATCACGGCTACTGTGACAATGAGCAGGGTGCAGTAGCTGAATATGCCTGCACGAAAGAAACCATACTTCCCGGTTGAAATAATAAATACAGAAATGGAGTTTCAACCTGTTCAACCTTAAACCGCAGATTTTACAGATCAGTCTTATCTAATACAAGTAGAGTAGAGCACGTGGAAAAAGATGTTTTTTGTCAATAGGATATTTGCAAAGCCCTGCTGTAAACAGTAATAATGATGTTACATACAGGGTTACTCAGAGTAAAGTTCCCTTTTCGAACGTGCCCTGTATATCCAACTTAATATTTGTAGAGGGGATAGCGCTGCCAATTTGCGGTGACTGCGTGCGGATTATCAATAAACATGGAGCAGTCGTCGAACGAGCAACGCGCGTTTTTGGTCGAGGTGTTTCTCAAATGAAACGATCTCTATGTCGAGACACAGTGAAGTTTTTGTAACCATTACAATATTCGGCGTATACGTGATGCCCCGTCAAAAAATTTATTGAAATCGTGGGTTCAAAGATTCAAGCAAAGCGGTACAATGGCAAATCAGAAGCGTCCTGGCTGTGTAATTACTATCTATACTATTATACAGAACCGATCTGCTCTATGAAACAGTAGGCTTTGTAATACGAAACACCGCGTTGCTTATCATTTCTCACTGTACTAATGTGCGAGTAAGCTCTACATCGTGATGGTATAGGTAGTTCAATTCAATAATAAAAACTTACGGTTATGAGTTATGACAATATTCAATCCCTTCTTCAATAAGTGATACATTTTTATGGTATTTTTGTTAATTTTTTTCATTAAAAATGGAATGGTAGCGTCACAATCTTGATTTCTCACCCTGCTCTCATTAGTCTCACTTCTTTCATTACAGTCCACTTCATTAGAGCTGCTATGGTGACATTTCTTGACGTTTTTATATTCATTCTTTCTGAAGGAAATGTGTATCTCACAATCTAGTTAGCTTTTGTTATGGTACTGTATCTATTAATCCAACTGTTACACCACTCAGTTGGATAATTCTCCTTCATCACATTTCTTCTTGGTGCGTATGGTTAAAGAATAATTAGGCATTTACTACCTATACCACAATGTAGAGCTTACGCGCGCTGTAGATTAGTATAGTTAGAAATATTAGGCAACGCGGTATTTCGTATTACAAAACCTACTGTTTTATAGACCAGATTGGTGCTTGTACACATAGTAATTACGCGTCCCGGCCAAGAGAACTCCATCAGAACGTCAAAGAACATTGGGATTGTGCTACGTGCTGTGCCTGAAAATCCGAGGCGCTTAATTCGAAAACATGGCGGGACGCTTTTGATTTGCCACTGCACCTCTTTGAATCTTTGAACCCACCATTTCAACAAATTTTTTGACGGAGCGTCACTTATACGTCGGATATTGTAACGGTTACAGAAACGTAGCCGTGCCGCGGCATAAAAATCGTTCGATTTAAAAAACGCCTCGACCATAAACGCGCGTTGTTCGTTCGACCACTGCTCCATGTTAACTAATAATCCGCACGCACTCGCCACAAATTTCGAGCGCTAACCCCCCCCCCCCCCCCCACCCCACCAATATTAACAGGACGCGTTCGAAAAGGGAAATGTAATCTGAGTCACCGTGTACATCCATTCAATCGAAAAATCTCTCGAGTTCACGTAAATTCTTGTTTATCCAAATCACACAATGAAAACAAATTGTCGTACCAATTGGGTCGGCCTCTTCGCACCAATGGAACTTTATAATAGTGCTTCTTCACATATTATCATGGTACCACCGATCCAACCATCTATTCTCAGTAGTAATAGCCCAAGGACATTGATAATTGACCGAAAAAAATTTATAACAAATTTCGAAAGCTTGTTGCTTGAAAACAGACCGACGCGGTAGCGGAGCGGTTTCTATAAGCAACAAGCCTGAGAAAGTTGTTATAAAAATTTTGAGCATTTATCAATGTTCGAGACCCATGGGCTGTTTTCAGTATAATTTTGACATGATTGGATGATTTGTGTCACATGACAATAAATAACAAAATTCAACTGGCTGTTAGAACTGTCAAAAAATTTTTGTAATAAGCTCCCACCCTTTAAAGATGCACAATCTTCTCTTCTACGTCAGCACCTCCACTCAGATCCGTAATTCCATCTATCATTCTCCATCTACATGCTACTACTTAGTTCCGAGTCTCCAGAAGCATGTCTGTATGAATAATGTCCTCTAGATCCATTTTCTTCGCCATAGTCGTAATTTTTATCGTCCCAACTATCCACATACTCATGAACATCTTTATCCCTGTGAAATGAATGCCTTCTAGGATCTAGGAAGCCTCTCTGCCATTCAAGTCTGCCCTCGCCTGACGTTACAGGAACTAGAAAAATGGCCGCTTGTTCATTGTTGAGTCGCCTTGTCTATGTCTTGGTATAGGACTTTGATAAAGCTTCGCAGATATTTGCTGATTTGCTTATGTTCTCCGTACATTCATATCTCTAATTCAGTTGATGAAGTTTTCGGCCGCTAGTTGTTTTTGTATTCCTGCTTCCGGCTTTTGGGTAGGCCAAATTACCTAGACCACAGATATCGATTTAAAATTTTTGGAAACTTTCCATGCCTATCCGTTGTCTTGATCTTAGCTGTAGCCAGTAAAGCTGTCCTCGATGTTGCTACCCATAATGACGATCTAATGCACCAACAAGCGCAACATAGTTTTTTCTTGGGAAGCTGCAGGCCGAAATGTTTCTAATGGGGAAGGACCACTTAATGCTAGAATCAAGCCTGCAGCCTGTAGCCATGTCGTCGGAGCTCCAACCATTCTCCATTGCATTCTCGAATGATGTCTGACCATGGTATGACGGTGGCTCAACTTTCATACCGGTTGCAGGCGAAGCTGAGACATTTCGTGATGTCAATTTACAGTCCAGCTTTTTTATTTTCTTCTGGAAACTATCTATTTCTTGGCGGAATGTTTTAACTTTCTAACGAAGAATTAACACTTCTCACTGACAAACATTCCCAATATCTTGACATAGGTACCTACTTCTTCCTTGGCATTTTTGAATATTTTATTTATCTAGCCCTTCCAAGACTTTCTCGAGACATTATGGTTCAAATCCATTCTTGCTGAAATTCAAAATTTTCCCTGTTCTTGTTTTTATTTTGATCTCCGATTGTGATCTTCTTGTTGTTGCAAGCCGGCCATCCTCTTCTTTCCTTCTTTGGTCTTCTTCTTTTTGTTTTTATCTCTTTCTTCGGGCTTCCTCTTCTTATCTCCGATAATTTTCATTCAGCAACATTTGATTAATTTGCTCCATTTCGGATGTTTGCTGTCGTGTATTCGCCATAGAATACTTACTCCGTGAATTTCCCGATTTCAAATGAAACTCTGAGGAGGATGTTAAAATTCCCCTACCAATTGTCTCGTAATTATCCCAGCTCTGACATCAAATTGTCACAGACTGCGGGTTCACTGAAATTCTTTTTATTAACAACTTTCATTGAACTTATTGACTACAAAATTCACTAATCACTCATCACTTCCACTTAACTTTATACAACAAGTATCTTATTCAAACTGACTACAATTTACAAAATTTTTAATATCAATTTCAGGCCACGTATGGATAGGATTCTGCGACAACTAAATCTTCTTTGCGCCTATTATATGCTCGAGTTTTTATCATTTTTTGAATTATGATTTTGAAGCAATCTTGGTCCATATGTCATTAAATGATAGAGCAAACAGATGGTTCCGGTTAAATAAATGTCCTGCCCCTCACATACTATGATGTAGTTCAAGAGCCGGCAATATTAACGGGTATGTGATCGTTACAATGGATAACTTCTTCATAAAACAATAGTTCATAGTAACCTTTAAACCAAATGGATGGGTTGCCTTGATTTTCATGGCCGTAAAGTTGTTTTATAAAAAGATGCTTTTATTAATTTTATAAATAGAACAAAACTATACGCGCAACACATACGAAGAACCTTGCGGTGTAGGGGGTTCTCATCATATGCGACAAGCACTTTATTAACACAATTTCATGTTTCTGTTTTTGTCTAGAGACCTACAGCCGTATGCAAAATCCTCTTTCAACTTTAGAAGTGACTTTGAAAGCTGTCAAAAATTTGTATTCAGCAAGCAAAATAACGCGCGCGCTCGACTTTCAATGAGGGTTGCCATCATTTCCGGCCATCAAAATCGAGGCAACCCTATATATTATTTGAGAAGACATAATTTCGCATATATCTACCAATTTCCAGCTATTGAAACGATAACATTGTTCCTTCGAAAAAAGAGGGGTAGTTTACGCCCAGCCACCAAAGGGTTGCGGCCATGAGAATCAAGGCAACCCATCCATTTAGTTTAAAGGTAACTATGAGCTATCGTTTTATGAGAAAATTATCCATTGCAACGATCACATACCCGTTAATATTGCCGGCTCTCCTACTAATGGTAGCACGCCCATTTTCTGGGAAGAACTTACCGACATTTGACATATTTAAAATGAAGCAATATGACCATTATTCGCTATTTGCGAATATGAAATAGCGTGGAAACGTATGGTTGGATATAAAGTTCCTCCGGAGGACAAAGAATGCAGAATCCGTCATTTTAACACTACTTAGCTACATTGTATTCGATGATTTTACTAAGTAATATTATGAATGCCTACCATTTTTTTACCAAGGAAAGGAGGCTGTGTGCATGTGTCCAAATAAGGAAAGTAAAAAAGTGTATTCCATACAAATTTTGTTTATTGAAATTCAGCGTAGTAGAGCGCTTGCGGCTTTCGCCATCATCAGTACTACCTGCAAGCAAGCGAAGAAGAAATTCATAATAGAGCAGTTGTGAATACGTATACAATAAATTAGTGGATGCAAAATTTTTAAATTCTTTCTTTATACTCACTTGTCAATTTCCGACACAGAAGTTAAAATTGTAAAAGGACAGTAACGACGAGAATGAAAAGCATTACGACACGACGAGAATTACAGATCTGTACACAAAAAGGTTAATTTATTATATACATATTCACAACTGCGCTGTTATGAATTTTTTCTTCGCTCGCTTGCAGGTAGTCCTGATGATGGCGAAAGCCGAAAGCGCTCTACTACGCTGAATCCCAATAAACAAAATTTGCATGAAATACACTTTGTTTCTATCCTTACCATTTTTTTTTGTACAATTTTCCACTAACAATGACAACATTTTAATAAACCTAAGTACAAATATGTATAGGATTGTTAAAAGACAGAAAAGGGCATTATATCTACCCATAAAGTATAATACCTAGCAATGCAGCTCCTTGTTCTGGGATTCCAAAGGCCAACTTTATGTCGGCGGGGACGTTAACAATAACGAAAGAAATTTAACAGGCTGTAATAAATCTATAGCACCGGCACCCATTATGAACGCGCCGCAACGCCGTCTATAAACTCGGCTAATTGAATATAGAGCACTGGAAAAGGGCATTGTTTGCCCGAATAATGTATTTATATACCATCGAAACAAGACTCTGAGAGCACTCCATAATTGAAAATTGCTTCTCTCTATGTGTTTTTTTTTGATTTGTTTTGTTTTCAAGAATCCCAGACTGAAAAGCTTTTATTCGTTCGAGAAGATGATTACTTTTTGATTTATTTCAATTTATTTTGGAATTCATACTGAAGCAGTCAATTACAATTCCATCATTGCCTCTGTGTAACCTATCTCGGCACATTTTCATTTAAAGTTAAGTCCGACGCCCGTTATAGGTAAACATCCAACAAATAACGTTATGTATCTCATAAATCTATCTTCAAACAGTATTCTAACCTCAACAATAACAAAACCTGAATAAGAAAATACCACAAAATACCTCACATTACTAAATCACCAACTACTTTACAACCAGTCGTAAATATTTCACATAGGAGGTTCATTCTTTCGCCGACCGCCATTCCCTATTTTAATAAATAAGAGACAAGACAAGAAAATTTATGACCGATATTAGGTCTTTCCACAGTGCCTAATACGTTACAAAAGTGCTCCCTATTTATAGACTTGTTTCACATTGATATAGAGGAGTCTGTTGCACAGCATCATGCAAATAGAGGCCATATTTGGGTGAATGGAGAATAGAACAAAAGGTTTATTTACTGTTGAACCTAAGACATAGAGATGTCATGATGCTTCGAAATGTATTTTCCTCATTTACGCATATCTTATGTTAATATCATCAACTATGATTTATGCAAGTAAAATAAAATGCCTTCATTTTTATAGCGCGCGCTATAATTACGACAATCTAATAGAATGCCTCTTTGGTTTTTGTCCATTAAAAATAAAAACATGTAACATGTCAGAGGCATATAATTATTGATGCCTTTCATCCTTCTCATTATAACCTCATTTTATTCCAAACGCCTAGCGATTGACAGGCAGTGCTACCTTCGCTAGGTCCCTGAAAGCCGCTTTCCCTAGACCGGCCATTTTTCCTGAGCCTGGCGCTCCACCACCTCAATCCCGGAGAATTACGCCCAGAGCCTGGCTAATCGTCCAGAGCGTGGCTCTTTTTGAGACAGCCAGCATTGTGTTTCCAGACCTTCGCAGTGATTTTGTCGAGGCAGGTTTGTATCAGTGTTTGAATTGCCCAGATAATTGGGCACATTTTTGTCTCAAATTACATTATCGTTACCCTGAAAATAACTGTAAAGTCGTAACAAGCATTATCGGCGCTTGAAGGAAAGGTCCCAAATTACCAGAGTAACCTAATAAATCTAATAGCGGTCATAAATTCTGGCAAGTTGATAAACAACAACAAATTTTCTGCTTCTATCGACACCTCAATTGTCAGAATTTTGATTCGTCAACCTCTGTGGTCGACTTAATTCATTTTAATAGAAGTTATTGCACTGATCATTCAGTATTTAAGTGAGATTTTCAACACAGAAATAATTAACATTTTTAAAAAAGCTTACCATCATAACAAGTTCCAGTTTTGTCACAGTTAACGTCGGCGGTCTTTGTCAGATTGTTAAGAGTTGGATCTTCAGAAGTATCAAAGACAACTGGCAAGGTATTTTCACCTGTTCCTGCTGGCACAGCTGATTCTGGAAAAAAAATCAATCTGGTTTAGTCACTGAAATCTACCATTAAATCCATGTATATAATTTTAGGATTCGATTCATTACAGACCATAAAAGCAAATAATTATATTTCCTCAAGCACTTTTTAAATTGGAATGGGGTATATCCTTAATTAAAACGATATCACTGGTAGTTTGAGAGGCTATTTGAAATATACGTGATGAAGTTTTTAATGAGTATGCAAAAAAACTGAGCTGTCGTAATTAAATTTATATTTATAATTTTCAAATGTACGACCTAAGACGTGTATGTTTGAAATAGTATTTTCTAAAAATAAGATAAAGTAAATGAATAAATGATATTATTATCACAATTTTAACAAGCAATTATAACTAAATATGTTATTCAAAATTTTAGGGGTTAGTAACAATAGTGAATATGGTGTATATAGGTATAATATGTTTTTCCTATTTGGTAACACCAATTAATAATAGGTCGGCCTACTGACGATCAGTACTGAAACAGCAAAATGTTGTTAAGTAATGTAACCAAGTCATAGATGGCGCCACGATTAAAACTCTCTCATCCTACTGCCTGGTAACAATCAAAATTAAAAGTAGGCAACTATTTATTTAAAATTTTGAAATTGGTATAAAATTTATTCTTTTTTTTTTCAGTCTCAAACGTATTGTAATACATATAAGTAAAATGGATCTTGTGCCATACTTACATACTATTGTTATCGGTGATGTTTGCATTCCTATGTCAAATGGAATGGACATCATGTATCAGCGACTATGAACGTTTTACTAAATTTCAAATTTTATTCAAAAATTCCCAATGTCTAGTAGGTACTCAAGTATGATTTTCAGAATGTTTCTAATTTTGTCTATTCCTGTTACTTGATTTTTGCATTCACCGCGTTGCTAATTTGGGAAAATCCTCTTTTCCGTTAAACCCTGAGACAAGAGACTGAAATTTTTTATTCAAAATGTCGTATGGTTACCGTTTGGTCTTCGAATTTCCTATTTCATTCAAACTGTCGCTATCAGAGTGCTATATATCAGATCGTCTACAGTCTACAGTAAGTTTCCACGATTCTTTACTATTCATGTGTGAATTGGCCTTAAAGTGTCTGCCTTTTTAATATCAGTTCTTGTTCTTGAAAATAGTCGTACTAGGAGATGTGTGCTCCTAGTGTATTTTTCATTTATTCCGCCGTTCTCTCGAATTTATTTATATTATACCAAAACCAACAACTTCAAGCTGCCCTTATACGAACAAATCCTCAATTCTCACGGGCATCAGACTAATTATACATTTAAGCCCGTACCTTGAACGTGTTTTACGTGCCACTTTGGCCATATTTGAAAAATAATATTTCAAACAGCAAGAGTCGCCTTAAACGTGTAAGTACTAGCGCGAACGTTTTCATTTTATAAGCGCCCATTTTCCAAGAAATAATATTATTATGGGTTAGATAGTGCCGTGTCTGTGTCCATATAACATATCTTTAGTTAATGGCTCAATAAAAGTTGTAATATGTATGTCTACGGGTTATGGCGGTTCAGGGGCGTTGTTAAAACATAATTTTTTTATTAAATTGCACATAATTTAGCAAGAAAGAATAATTTCTTCTGCCATGGTAATTATTGTACATGAAAAAATGTACCAAAGGTAAAACTAATGGGATTTTCCCTGTATGTTTTTTTATTCTTCGGTATTCTGTTAAATTACAAATAAAGCCGTGAAAACTTTAATCCTGTAAAAATTACAAGCCATATAAAAACGGAATAACTTATAAAAGAACTAAGATTTTTCTATCATTTCGACAAGCGAGCGACAGAAATGAAGATAAAAAAAATAACTATGAGATTTAAAACTTAGATGGCATTATTTTCAAGTATGTAATAAATAATGTACGCCAACAATCAATTAAGACCTCATCGGCCGGCAATATGAATGTAGAAAAACCGAGATTATTGATAATACATTGAGGATAGGTAATCAATACTCAACAGTGCTTCGTTTCACTCCAAGGGACCCTAGGAACATACAACTTCAAGTTGGAGCCGACACTAGAAAAGAGAAACTGTTAAAGTGAACACATTATACAACAGGCAAAGTTGATAAAGAACTAAACAGTTTCTGGACTGGTACAAAATATTGACCAACAACAAATAGACCAGGTAGTTCCATTCGGGCCTACACAAGTGTAAAACCCAGAATAATTAACTAAAAAAATTTAAAAAGTCTGATCTGTCTCTAGATGACGAAGCTTTTTCATAAAGAATTGTGTCGCGAGATGAAGCCTCACACAAACAGAAAATGTGTTACTTCGTGCACATCGTTAATATCAATTAAACTCAAACATTATTGGTATTTCATTAGAAACCTAAGGAACGACTGAAACCTACCAGCGCAAATGAGATACAGCCGTATAGAATCGTTCAACTCTAACTACAACGCTGAAAATTTTGCCTCTAACTTAGGGTCCTTTTATTCAGACTTCGCCAGTATCGATCCTTAACTGGATACAACCAACAACGCTGGTCCAAACGAAATTCCTAACGAAATATTTGAACGATTCTCAAATGATGCTTTAAAAACGGCTGCTTTTCTAAATTGTGGAAATTCTCTTACCTCCATATACAAATCGGGTTGTACATGCGACAGAGCAAACTACCAGGGCATATCAATCATCTCAACCATCTCTGTCAACCAGGCATCCCCCTCTAAGTCTCTGTCTCTGATTTCTTCTTCTACTGCACTCCTCCAGCTTCTTTTTGGTCTGCCGCGTCTTCTTCTTTCCCCTGACTTCCACTCAATAATTTGCTTGGGTATTCTTGTATTTGCCATTCTTTGTACTTGTCCGAACCAGATCAGCTATTTGTTCTTCATCATCTACTATTGTGTGTTTTACGTCAATAATTTCCCTATTTCTCAGATTTGTTATCCTTTCCACTTCTGAACCATAATATGTGACTATGCTAATGACCATGGTGTATATTCTAGTTTTGTTCATATTTTGGTCCCACAGTACACCATTTAGTAGGGATATTGCCTTGCGTCCTTGTATATTCCGATCTTTAATTGCTAGGTCTAAGGTTCCTCATGTGAGATTTTCATGCCCAAATATTTGTATTCAGTAAATTGTTTTATTTCTTGTCCGGTATTCAATTTCAGAGTTCGTTGTTCACCTCCTATAGTCATATATTCTGTTTTCGTTAAATTTACTTCCAAACTCCATTTCTCGTATATCTCTATCAATTTTCGTGTCATGTCATCATAGTCCTGTGCAATTAATACTTGATCATCTACAAAGCCTAAAGTATATAGATTGTATTCATCGAGCGGTATTCCCATGTGTCTGCATTTGTTTTTCTATCCCTTAAGCGCTTGTTCTAAGTATATTTTAAAAAGTGTTGGTAATATGCAGCATCCCTGTTTAAGTACTTTAGTTGCTATAAAGCCTTTACTGATTATATTTCCCTGTTTAATCTGGGTCTTTGCATCACTATGGAGCATTTTTACTGCCTTTATTTATTTATCTCAGCTTATTGGTCTTTTCCAGTGCTTCCCAAAGCTTTTTCAGCGGAACATTGTCATATATGCTTTCTTTAGATCTACAAAGAGTAAATGGAGTTCTTGGTTATACGCTAGTTTCTTTTCCATTACCCAGGTCAAGCTAAATAAATGGTCTACAATTGATCTTCCTGCTCTAAAACCGGCCTGTTCTTCTGCCTCACTATCTTTGTACTCGTTCTCTATTCTGGCTTTTACGAGTTTTCCATACACTCTGCTCAGCGTGTTTGTTACTGCAATTCCTCGGTGGTTCTCGCATTTGTTTCTGTCTCCTTTCCTATATATCGTTGGTAAATAGCTTATTTTCTACTCTTCCGGTACTTCATGTTTATCTATGCATGTTCGAAATAGTTTTGTTAAATGTTTCTAGAGTTTATTGGTCTCATACCATCAGTTCTCCATATATTTCTACTAGGCCTGGTGCCCTACCGTTTCTCAAGAAGCTACAGTATTTTTTAACTTCTTCTTGCATAACTCTTATTGGTGATCCTGCAGTTTTTATGTTTCGTATCTGTTCCTTTTCTTCTTTAAACTCTGCCCGCTGTTCTGTCAGTAATTCTTCAAAATACTCTTCCCATTGTATTGTATTGATAATATCCTTGATTTTTGTTTCCTCATATTCTTTAGTAATCTCCAACTTTCTGTGTTTCTTTTACCTCCCAGATAAGTAATAATATGCGCACAATTTCTTTCTCATGACTTGTTTTTTTCTGTACTATTTTATTCCATACTTTTGCTTGGGCTTCTTTATATATTCCTTAGTCTCGTGTCTTACTTCAACTGAGATACTGTTGTTATTTCTTCCTTTTATCTGCTATGTCTTTCTCTATTTCTTCAATAAGGTGAGGGCGCCTTCTTCCATTTTTCTCGTGTTTGCCTAGAGCAAACACGAGAAAAATGGAAGTTGTTCGAGCTTTGTTTTGCGATAGTGTAGTTAATCATCGATTTTTGTTGTCTAGTTCCATTTTTCTATGTGTACCTATGTATTTCTTTATGCTGAAAGTAACCGTTTAGGATTTAAAGCTTATTTTGTTGGCATATTGCTATGAGCCTTTCTCCAATGTTATTCGTTACATTCTCTCCACATTTTCCGACTACCTTGTCGTTGATTTTTCTTCCTATTCGTCCATTGAAGTCTCCCAGCAATATTATTTCTCTTGAAGTTCCTACTTTTATGATTTGGTCACTGAGTTGTTGATAAAATCATCTCTGCTATCCCTAAAGTTTTTGAATAATATTCCGGAAGAAACAGGACTTTGCAGGGGTTGCTTGGCAGCCGCAAACATTGCTAACTATCACTTGGTGTCTTCCAATGAGGCATGACTCAATTTATCCAAGGCGTTTGGCACTGTACATCAATTACTCATCCGGATCAAAAAATGATCCGGAATGGGCAACGAAGGAAGTTACTCAGACTTGCGAATCATTATCTGAAGAAGTTCTCGCGACATCGGGTATCATCAAGGTTCATGTTGTATCGTCGTCGCGATTTCCAGATTTCTACTACATACGGACGATTTAAAGATCTTCCCTCGGATCTTCCTAACAATAAGTGGCTTGCAACTACTAGTTTCACCAGTGGAATACATTAATGATATTACAGCCCTCGACCTAAGCCTATCCTTCATTATACACATTGACGATATCATAGTTAAGAGCCTCGAAAGGTTTTATCAAACTCAATACTAAACATATGAATGACACCTGTGCGGGGACTATGTAACTTCTGGATATTGATACCGAACGAGGAACGAAATGAAACTCTACTTTTCTCTTTGCTGATCTGGGTGGAGACTTAGACCGAGCTCTGAATTTAACCGATTTAGAAAATTATTAACATTAGCCTGTCTAAAAACTTCGTTCAGTTTGCCCATTTTACCTAGTGTTCAATAGTGAGATAATTAGTATATGAATTTGAGTTATGTAGGGAGATAATTAGTAGATTAATTGAAGCTAAGTAGTCAGCACAATAAATTAACTTTAGTTAAACTTCGAATAGTGACTTCATTAATGGCTTTGATATCGAAGTCCACAGAGTGATTTTCCTAGAAGATTCCATCGTGTTCTGTGAACATTAGGCAAGATACAGGATTTATGCCACAGCACTTTATATTTTAAATCATGTTTCAAGAAATATACAAAGTATTTTATTGTGCTGGACAGAATTAAAAACAAAAAGTGGAAGATCGACGACAGGAAGGAACTGCAATCTCTGTGGAGCAAACCAGACTTAAGAAAGATCATAAATTCAAGAATGCAATGAAGTGAAGAGCTTGCAGCTCCTCAGGCAAATGGAGCTTTCCGCCAAAAAATGAACAGTTATAGAAGAAAATTGGAATATGAATTGAGATCAGGAAATTTCTTTTACGGAGTTACTATATAAAATATATTCAAATTCGCAAAGACTTTAAAGCAATATTCAATAGTCCCAGTAACTTTGTCTTGCTACTCGTATATGACTTCAAATTTTTTATTACTTTATGGTAGCATTAATAGTAACCTTGACGTCGTTGCTGGTATAAGTTCCGGGGTAGTACTTTCCACGTAACTGTAACTATCATCTTATAAAATGTTCCCCATTTTGGTCTTAGATACGTAATCGGATCGTAGCAATAGGCTCGTTCAGTGAAGTTTCATTTACCACGTTTTTTGATATTTTTATGGAGTACTACTCACATATAGCACACACCAAAAATTTCAGCGCAATTAGATAAATATTAAAAAAGTTATGCGGCTTTAAATAATAAAACATTTATGCCTCAGAAATTCATCGCTTAAAGATGGTATGACGTCATCTCTCGAGTCAAGACGGGCTAAAGGCCGTCACACGACCAACGTGAGAGATGCAGTGACGTCACCGCGTGTTTCAAAACTTCCAAATTTGGAGCGTTTCGATAATTTATTTAAATATGAACAAGGGCTCGGAAAATTATGAAATTTTGCACAACTGCTAAACTCAATACGCTCTTTTAGAATATGTGATAAAAAAATATGCTGCACGAGCCTATAACGTTGCCGGCGCTAGTAACCAGAACTTCACAGTTTCCAACAATAATTGCCTGGTCGTACCAACAACTGAAAATGCTGCTTAAGAGGGAATGGGGGGGGGGGGGGCGCCGAATCTTACCGCTGCAAAAAGAGGACATTTCAAGCGTGACTCTGAGGTATTCCTGAGATTTCGCTCTTCTTCTGGTGACTCTGATGGGGAAGTTGCAAAAGTCTGATCTGCGAATCAAACATTCTAATAAACTGCATAACAATGGAGGTGCCTTATCTAGGCGACCATGCCAAATCTAACCCTTGCTTGAGAATTGATCTGTGTGAAAGGATTTTTGTTAGATGCTTTCGATTTGACCGGATCAAGAACGGAGTTCCTACTAGCTTAAAAGTGATCAATGGGGAGATAATAATATCAAACCAGCTTTACCTGAAGGAAACCGTTAATGAAACAGCAGCAAACTAAGTGAAAGAAAAATTTAGCGAGCGAAGGAAGAAAAACTACAACTTTATCCTTCAGACACTCTACAGATTCCTTCGATGAGGAATAGCACGAGTGCTACGATCAGACAGCTAGCAGTATGGTAACAAGGTGGTCATTTTTTTAGTTCCCATGACGTTAGTCCATGGAAAGCTGAACCACGCAGGTATGAGGGTAGACCTGGCGGGTCAGAAAGGCATCCTAGATGCGATTTATTACAGATATAGATTTAAGGCATACGGATAGTTGGCATGAAGAAGATGATTATGAGTATGACGAAGAATATTGATCTAGAGAACATTATTTTCATGGAGATAGTTCTAAGAGCTCTGAAAGGCATAGTACTGCCGGTAAAAGGGAGATGGATCTTGGTGCGTCTTGACAGGTTGAATGTTTATCACGAGGTTGAATGGTCTGATCGGTACGATCAAATTTGAGAGGTCGCATTGCTGCCGGCGCCTCTGTTGACGACATATACGCGAATATTCAGGAACTGTGTAATTTAAATAAAAAAGCGATACATAAATGCATTGTTAGTAGAAAGAGTTTTCAGTGGACTGGCGGAATCCATAACATATGTACCCATTTTTTTTTTGTGAGATCACAACCAAGATGATGGCGCAGAAAACACCGAAACCTCGGACCTCTATAGTGGTTCAGGATGTATACATTGACCAATTAGTGTTTTCTATATACTTACTTTCACAGGTGTTTTCAAAATACAATCCAATCCTCTCTCCACTGTCAATTAAAGGCCTCTCAGCGTTGAGATAGGTGCTGGGTCCGTCTGGTAGAGTCTTGTGGTCCAAATGGTAAAGTTGACAGTTATATTGAGATCCCTAATCAAAAAAAATACAAGGCTTTTAAATAACTTTCCGAGTTTTGGAGAAGAAACTGGATACTTTACCTGAGGTGGTCCCTTGAACAAGAAACTCCTGCACAAAAATTCATTTTCGATTTCACAAGCTAATCTACAAGCGGCCTCGGAAGTAACTTGCAATTCTTTGTCAGTGTAATAATGAAGACTGGCATATTGAGCTACTTTGTCATCTGCCACTCCTATTCTTGGGTTTTGGAATTTTCTGTTACCTGCAATGCCAAAGGAAAATCGTATAAATGATAATCAAATTATTTGAGTGTGTTTTTAGTCCAAGGCGGCCTGATACAAACGTTTTATTTGCAGAGTCCCTGGGTGAAGTTTCTAATTAAAATGCCAGAGAACATATTGCTTAATTGAAAAATTCTCGTGGCAACTTTTTTAGATACCGTTTGCGGTTCTATTTTCCATTGAAATAATTTAATTTTTTCATGTTTCTTACCTTTGCAGGCTTGATTTCCTTTTAGACATAAATTTTCAAAATAGTCAACTCCTTGGGCATCAACAAATTGAACAAATTGACCGGCTGATCTTCTGTCGGTGTCACTGAGCTGACATTGTAGGGTAACGTAGTTGTATTCTACGGATCTGCATGTAAACCGATGCTAAAAAAAAAAAAGAGGTTTAGAGTCGAATGAAACAAATAATATTTTTGTAAATAGGTACCATATTATCAATCCAACAATTTCTGAAAAGGCAAATGATAACAAAATTAGCTTATTTTATAGTCAATCAACTCAAAAGCGCCAAATTAAGCTTCTTTTTCAAGGTAGTCGCTAGCGCGCAAATTTTCCTAATTAAAATTTCAAATTAGGATCCATAATAAATAGCCGCGTTTGAAGAAGCCTGAGGGGCAAATTAAAAAGTTTTTAATAATGCAGGGCTTATTGTTTCATCTTAGAATTTGAACTGTCGTATTTCTCAAGGTTACACTTTCATCTATTTAAATTTATTGGTGATAATTAAAATATGATTATTGAAATTCATACTTCATTTAAACAAGCAGCCAAGCATGCTTCCTTGGTCGACGTGTAAATGAGAGCATTGTCCAATCCTCTAATCATTTTATTAGGGACTCTTTCAAAGGCCCATGGTCTCAAACAAATGTTATCGCTGCGCAGCTGCAACTTGGTCATATAGTACATGTTCACGCTCCTCTGCGCAGTTGAAGATGGGTTGTTTGCTTCGGTTTCGTTTTGAAGCTGACATTGAGTTTCCTGAAATAAACAATAAATTAAATTTTCAAGCATAATTAACACTATTTGCATAAACTTAAACCAATCTAAGAGAATCTCATTTCCTTGAAAATTCCAACAGTAATAAAGTTTGCTTCGGTGAGTTAATCAGAAAACTAAATTTACCGAAATGGAGTTAGTTGCATTTTACGATGGAGTTTAAAAGTTTAAATTGGTTTTTGCAAGATTGTATCTAAGGTCAAATGAAATAATTTTGTTGAGGACAATAAAATTGTAGGTAATAAAAATTCCGGATACATAAAAAATAGATAGGGCAAGAAAATTTATTAGGGCAAGTAAGTCATAGGACTAGAGACTTTTAGATTCCGAGTGAAGTAGCTATTTAGGATTATTGTAGGTGGTTTATGTAGGCCATCTATATGGTGATACGTTTAAGTAAGAGAAAATCTCTCTACATTTTTTTTATTTTGCAAAAGTGGAAAAAATTAATTGATTTTTTTTTTTTTTTTTTTTTTACGGATATGCGCACTCGCAAGGAAATGTCCTATCACGCTCGAGAAGCGGCAAGTGCGCGGAAATGTCGGTGTAAAAGATTCGACGAGGATGGGATGATTTGAAAATTATTTCTCTTTAAATTTCCACTTGTATTCCAGTGCGTTCTACCATTCCCAGTTTCTTCTTGATGTTCTCCAATTACAATAACCTCTTTTGTAACCCACAAATGTTCAGGAATGTACTATGATATATATCTTTCATAATTTAAGTGAAAACAATTTCTATTCTTACCTGTAAAGGAATCAGTGGATTTAGAACGAAACTAAAAGCAGCAGCTTGACAATCTGGTTCTTCTCGGCACCAACCTTGGCATTCGTACAAACTGAGATTTTTCACTGTGTAATATGTGTTCCCCCTGTAGTCGAAGTCTGTCAGTTTTTCGAAAGCTATCCGACCTGAAACCAAAAGAATAAAACTCGGTTTATTTTATATTCGCGTACAATTATAATTTTATGTCCTTAAATTTCCATAAATATTGCGTGAAACATCATACATAAATAATAACCCTTACGCGGCGTTAAAGAACTAGTAATGAAAAAATGTTAATGTTATTCCCATTAAAAACTCATACTCGTTCACTAAACACACGAAATGATGAATGAAGATGACTATCGTGACCTATAAAAACGGCAGACAATGAAGATTTTTATCGCTAACGAACCATTAAGACTTGGGTTCTTGGTGCAGTTTATCACTATAAAAGAAGAACCTTCAGGAGAAATTTGAATTACAAAACACAAACTAGTGTAATTGTATACCGTGCGTACGTCCTATTAAGTATTCATATTTAATCAAATAGCTTTATTTGATTAAGTTATATGAATTTAATTTGAAATTTGATATATCACTGTGCGTGATTTCTAATGTATATTCATAAAGGCGTATGCATAGAATTTCAATTAAGCTATAATAGTTTATGTATCGTAATTAGTATAGGATTAAAACTAGCTGTTTCGATTATGTCTCTCGCCTCTAAAATTTGTTTTATTTTCAATCCAACTTTAGTTAAAACTGGAATGCGCACACATTGCCATATATGCCAAAAAAATGAGGCCATGAAAGACAGATGCCACAAGGGGGAATGTTGTTTTTTTCTGTTGCTCGCTGACATATGACGTTTTCGAAAGTTTTGTCATATTTCCCTTCACAGGTTTCATCAATTGGGACAAAAACAGGTATCCCCTCCGCAGCAGCCGCACTAGGCTTCACGTTCGTCCTTATGTGTTATCATTCCAGTTTTTGGTTATAGTTCATTGATCTACACACCTTATCAACTATCAAGCTGGAACAAATAGGTTATTTTTAGTTCACAACGAACCAAAATAATTGAATTGAAGTTTTTACTGGTAATTAACGTATAAACACCAGTTTCATCTATTATTTGACTTTGAAGACTGCGTTTGTTCAGGCAGTGTGCCTGAAGATTACACTTGCCTAACTAGGGCTTGAGTTTTCAGATAAACATTCTGAGTGCTGCCGCTCCAGAATAGAAGATTTCAAAGACCGTAGTTTGAATTCATCGTTCTTGTCTTCGCATCGACCCATTCTTCGGTTCTGTTTGGTTTGTTGGTGTTTGCGAATGAATTTTATCGTATACCATGCTTTGATGATTATCTCAATGGTAGTGATGCTGCTAATGGCTACGGAATGATGATGAATATTTCGCTATGCTGTGCTGTCCAACTCTGCATTCAAATTCTTCTAGTCGTCCCCAACTCTTTCAGGTTGTCAGTTGGTCTGAAAACTGATTCGAAGGATAGATTCGAGGGTGCTTTATATTGACTGTACTATTTATTACTATTGGGACTTTTTTGGAGTAGCTGCCCAGTACTGAAGTTAGCAGAAGTTATACTATTCTGTTTTGATGATGCACTCCTGAGATATTTCAATAATGCCTATTGTATTTATTGCAACATCCTCTTGCACACAGTCACAAATGACAGATATGGTTGTTGAGGAATCTGTAATGAACATCCATGAGTTGGGTGCGCAGAGCTCCTTCCACATGATGCTTTGAATATTGTTCATTTGAATCTTGCAATGCCTTGGTTCTGGTCGTTCATAAATTTCGTCAATGATACATGACGGATTTGTCTCTATGTTTCTGACTGAAACTGGAGAGCAGATAAAGTGGTGATCAAATGACAGAATGCATTGTTGCAAATCGCGTTCTTGTTGTTCTAAGAATACTTGAGTCGCAATATATCCATCTGGAAGTCCAATGGGTACCATTTCCAGACTCTAAGGTACTGGTGTGGTGTGGCTCGTATCAACTCGAATTCACACCATCTGCAATGGGGAAGTATCCTAATATCACTAAATGTGTGTCTCATTGGCACTCAACTTTGTCGTTGTGACAATGTTCAGATTACTGGTTTGTTCAATGATAGAGTGCACATACGCTGATGAGATGAAATCGTATAGGTTTTCTCTGTTGAAAGGTATATCTATGTATTAATTTATCGTAGTATTCGCTGATTTCGCTTATAAAATTTACTGCCACTTGCTTTGCATTTGGTTGATAACTTCAATTCTTTCAATTTTTTGATTAAATTTTTCTTTGAAATGTTGTAATTTAGTGTTTATTTTGGCTTCGGTCTCGTTGAATTTTGCAAGGGCTGAAATCATGAATTTGGTTTGGTGACTGGATAGTTTGATTATATGTTGTTGATTTTTTTTAGTGCATCTATGTCTTGATCGAATCTAGATGATCCGAAATGCTCTACGTATATTCCATGTTGAGGGTAGCAAATTCTGAATCTGCTTTCTGCCGTGATAGTGGAAATAAGCAAAAGGAGGGCTAGTAGGAGATCAGGAGATGTAGTAACTGCGATAATTTGGACGATGTTTGGGTTCTAGTGTTTCTAGTTATTGGCGTTAGATCACTTGTAGATCAGTTTGTAATTTTTGAAGCTGTGAGGTTTTCGTCTTTTTCTGTTGGAAGTGAAATTATTTTGTGAATCTGCATTTTTGTCATTGTGCCTTCTGATTTCTTTATTGTAACTACTCGAACTGCACCATGCTTTCCTAGGTGGTTTTCAGCGAACATAGTAAGCTCATATTCGAACATTGGTTTTGTAGGACTTTTTTTTTGTCTATCTTCTGGATGAACGAATATTTGTCTGTACATTTTCTCAATATCGGCGCAGAAAACAAATTTATGTTAAAACCAACGAACCAATATGTCGACAGTATTCTGTTGCAACCTCTGGCCAACATGCATTAGGTATGCGTTGACGCTAGTGCCGGTGGAGCTTTTACAGGATGCATGCGAAATACTACTCTCAAACGAGTAATTTTGAATGGAATACAAACTGTTATTCATGTCCCGGGTTATCGTTCGATTGTAAAATTCTCCACAAGCTTGTTCTTCATCCGTAATTTGATGAGTTGAAGTAACTTCTACGATCTCCTAGACTGTTTGTCTTTTTCGTATTGAGCGATCATGCTTGGGACGTTGAAAATATTGATCCAGATAATCCAACCTCCTAGCACGGTATTTTGTTTCAAGAGACTCTCTTGAGTTTTCTGAAGATTATTCAAAATTATTGTGGCGTATTCTTTTGCTCCGAAGATTCCATCTATAGATCCAGGTGTCATAAACGTAGAATCGGCTAAAACTAATTTTTCCATGTATTGATGCTTTTTATGTGTAGAGGTTGCTTTGGCATCTACTGGGTTAACCTTGGAAGAGCTATCATGCTGACATTCATGTAGAATTTACTTTTGAATCGTGCTGTAATATAAGTATCTATTGACCATTTTAAGATGTTGGGCTCACCATCTCTCACGCCAGATATCTCAGCTCTAATATGACGCCGTGGAAGCTCTAAGCGTTGTGCTGCTTCTTCGGTGACGAAGGATGATTGTTATCCTTGGTTAAAATTCTCAAAGGCTGTGGCAAACTTTGAGCTTGGACTTGTAGTAGGGCTGTTGCTAGTAAAACATTTTATTCATCTTGACTTGCATGATTTGTCGTACCTAGTATTTCGTTTCTGTAGGAATTGCTCGACTGTTCTTCTTTGGTAGGTATTCTGGGAGTTTCTATTTTGACTATTGCCAGTCGAAGCGAAATTTCTTCGTTGATAATCGTTTGTTCGTTGCTGATTTTATTGATTTCTGTCAACATGCAAAAGTTTGTGATGTTGACGACTGCATAATATTACATTTTGTTTGGCTTCTGAACATTGTGGCTTAAGAGGGGCGTCCGATAAGAGCCCGCGCGCCATCTTTTGGGCTTTAACATTAAATATTTTTTAATCACAGGTGTTCAAATTCTCTGTAAGTGATTGACTTATTTACAAGTAGATGGCGACATCTTCAATATCAATTCGTTTACACAGTAATTTACAGTGGACTAAATAATTTTATTCAGATACAAATGAAATAATAGTATTTCACATTTTTAGCTAGGTAAAACAGTTTTTACTGGCGTTTAAAAGAAGTGACTACCCTTCCCAAACTTAGCGACATCTTTTAGAGAAGCGCTGAACACACGTTTGGTTTGAGTCTTTGCTGAAAATGACAGCAATCACCTCGTTGTTTGGCAGATTTTGATTAATTTTGTGATACAAACATCATAATTTTCGAAAATTCTGTTCTGTTCATTTTTTCTAGCATTTTACTATCCGAAATTTTGGAAATTTAGTGTTGGTGTGCTACTCTATATGTTTACCCCTTTTTCATTTAAATCCGTGACCAAAATTTGCATATTGTTGTCAACAAAATTGGTAATAATTTTACTATTTAGAATGCGTATTTTGCAACCAAACATGCTTCGAACTATACTCCAATCTATTATTGTTATGAACATAACTTCATTTCACTGAAAAGTGGTCTAAATTTGGAATTGAACAGAAATTTGTGAAGGTCTGTAAATGACATTTTATTTAAACGCCCCTCTTGAACAGTTTGGCAGATGACTTTAAACTTTTGACAGTGGTAGGTCATATGATTTTGGTCGTGACAGTATAAACACTATGACTGACTGGATTTGTTTTTCGTGGTTGACACTGTTTCTAATGATTAAAACATCCTTTCTAAAAATTCTTTGAAATCTGGTGCGTCATGTGGTGCTTGAAGACTCTGTTCATAAAGGCGGTTGGTCTAAGAGTCCCACTTCCGGATGATTGTGAGAATCAACATGGGCCCCCATGTATCAGTCCCTATTTCAAGGTTGTTCAAAGCTTGCAAGCACTCGCTCGTGAGGTCGTATAATTTTTTCAGCTTCAATGCATTTTCTTCGGGAATGGTTGGCAGGTCCAATAATTTATCCAACTGCTTGAAGATTAGTAGTCGCTTGTTTTTAAATCGTTTCTGTAATAATTCCTATGCTGCATCTCAATTAACTTCGATTGCTTCTAGATGTTATGTCAGTTTGCTTTCTTCTCCTTGT